ATCTACCAGTATGTACACCCGAGCTATATCTACCAGTATGTAAACCGGAGCTATATCTACCAGTATGTACACCCCAGCCATATCTTCCAGTATTTATACCCGAGCTATATCTACCAGTATGTACACCCGAGCTATATCTACCAGTATACATATTTGAGTATACATATATATGGGTAGAATAGGTCTTCAGCACCCCATGCTTGCCGTGAAAGGCGACAATGCTTGTCGTAAGAGGCGACTAACGGGATCGGGTGATCAGACTCGCTGACTTGATTGATGCATGTCATCGTTTCCCAAATGCTCGGATCGATGATCAAGATGTCAATCATTTGATTGTCTGGTCCTGACTCGTTTATTTACAGACCTCCGTCACATAGCTGGAATATTGCTGAGTGCGACGTTAAACAACAAAACAAACATCATAGCTCCGACTTTTGACTTTTTCTTTATGGCGTTTCATACTCCAATGAACTCGCTCTATGAGAAAATCAGTACTTAATTATATAAACAATTAAGATGTCAACTGACAGAATGTCCGCTTCCTTAATACGGTTGTACTCGTAGGTACAGACTAGTTGTACAGGTTGAGACTAGTAATAAGATCTGCAGTTAGTGTAGGTCAAGACAAGTGCAATCCAGATTGATTGAGAAACTGTGTGTCTGTAAGTAGGTAATCGATAATTACTGTAATGACCCTGATCATACAGTTGGACAAACAAACAAACAAAGTGGGACCAAATGGAAGAATGTACCCGACTTAGGTCATTTCGTTCATTCAAATAAGACTCTACTCAAAACAGTCAAGTACAATTATCTATGTCATTACCAACATTGCACAACAAAAAGTATCTTTTTGACATAAGGCTCCCATGGTAGAGATCTAGTCTACATTAAAATATATTTTTCTCTTCAGTTCCGGAAATTGTGGATAAGTAATACGATTATGTTAATATGATCCACACAGAAGGAATGATCCTTAGCCCTGCAATGACTCCGTCAGTGGCTAATTCGATAGAAATAAGCTGGTGATGTTAATGAACATTCTAGCTCATAATCCATGACTATTTCTTCGGAGTCATTTCTAAGCTACCATTTACCAATATGTGTTTTTGCTGTAGTTTTTGATACCTGTTTAAGATGTTTTACAAATTAAAACGATGTTTTCCTGGGCAGCAATTGGGATGTCGAGCATTTATATCACTGTTCTTACAACAAGACCCCCATTATGATAGCCGGTATCATATTGCCATGACTATATGTTTCTGCTGCATGTATATGTACTTCAATAGCCGGTATCATATTGCCATGACTATGTGTTTCTGCTGCATGAATATGTACTTCAATAGCCGGTATCATATTGCCATGACTATATGTTTCTGCTGCATCTATATGTACTTCAGTAGCCGGTATCATATTGCCATGACTATATGTTTCTGCTGCATGTATATGTACTTCAATAGCCGGTATCATATTGCCATGACTATATGTTTCTGCTGCATGTATATGTACTTCAATAGCCGGTATCATATTGCCATGACTATATGTTTCTGCTGCATGTATATGTACTTCAATAGCCGGTATCATATTGCCATGACTATATGTTTCTGCTGCATGTATATGTACTTCAATAGCCGGTATCATATTGCCATGACTATATGTTTCTGCTGCATCTATATGTACTTCTATAGCCGGTATCATATTGTCATGACTATATGTTTCTGCTGCATGTATATGTACTTCAATAGCCGGTATCATATTGCCATGACTATATGTTTCTGCTGCATCTATATGTACTTCAATAGCCGGTATCATATTGCCATGACTATATGTTTCTGCTGCATCTATATGTACTTCAATAGCCGGTATCATATTGCCATGACTATATGTTTCTGCTGCATGTATATGTACTTCAATAGCCGGTATCATATTGCCATGACTATATGTTTCTGCTGCATCTATATGTACTTCAATAGCCGGTATCATATTGCCATGACTATATGTTTCTGCTGCATGTATATGTACTTCCATAGCCGGTATCATATTGCCATGACTATATGTTTCTGCTGCATGTATATGTACTTCAATAGCCGGTATCATATTGCCATGACTATATGTTTCTGCTGCATCTATATGTACTTCAATAGCCGGTATCATATTGCCATGACTATATGTTTCTGCTGCATCTATATGTACTTCAGTAGCCGGTATCATATTGCCATGACTATATGTTTCTGCTGCATGTATATGTACTCCAATAGCCGGTATCATATTGCCATGACTATATGTTTCTGCTGCATCTATATGTACTTCAATAGCCGGTATCATATTGCCATGACTATATGTTTCTGCTGCATCTATATGTACTTCAGTAGCCGGTATCATATTGCCATGACTATATGTTTCTGCTGCATCTATATGTACTTCAGTAGCCGGTATCATATTGCCATGACTATATGTTTCTGCTGCATCTATATGTACTTCAATAGCCGGTATCATATTGCCATGACTATATGTTTCTGCTGCATCTATATGTACTTCAGTAGCCGGTATCATATTGCCATGACTATATGTTTCTGCTGCATGTATATGTACTCCAATAGCCGGTATCATATTGCCATGACTATATGTTTCTGCTGCATCTATATGTACTTCAATAGCCGGTATCATATTGCCATGACTATATGTTTCTGCTGCATCTATATGTACTTCAGTAGCCGGTATCATATTGCCATGACTATATGTTTCTGCTGCATCTATATGTACTTCAGTAGCCGGTATCATATTGCCATGACTATATGTTTCTGCTGCATCTATATGTACTTCAATAGCCGGTATCATATTGCCATGACTATATGTTTCTGCTGCATCTATATGTACTTCAATAGCCGGTATCATATTGCTATGACTATATGTTTCTGGTGCATGTATATGTACTTCAATTGCAGCTTCCATTTCTAACTAGAATATTGTGGCTAACTGATACTCTTGCATCTGCTACTGACATCACCAGCAAAGTCTGCCACAATGTGTGTGGCCAATACTAAAACGATAAAGTTACAGGGAGCAGTATGCCCCGTACCAGTAGAATGTGTGAACCCTATTTCTTTGAAGCCTGTGATGATTACTTGCTTCTGACACTACTGGTCCTGATTCACAGGTGTTTCTGCTTCACATACGTGTATAAACACAACTGGTATCCTAATGTAGCTGCTTGAAATAATACTGCTCTTGCTTCACATTCGAATCTCAATGACATCAAGTATCCCCAATAGTGCTGCCTCACATTCCACTATGACAACAAGTATTCCCAGTAGTGCTGCCTCACATTTCACTATGACAAACAAGTATTCCCAAAAGTGCTGCCTCACATTTCACTACGACAACAAGTATTCCAAATAGTGCTGCCTCACATTTCACTATGACATCAAATATTCCCAATAGTGCTGCCTCGCATTTCACTATGACAACAAGTATTCCAAATAGTGCTGCCTCACATTTTACTATGACAACAAGTATTCCAAATAGTGCTGCCTCACATTCCACTATGACATCAAGTATTCCCAATAGTGCTGCCTCACATTTCACTATGCCATCAAGTATTCCCAATAGTGCTGCCTCGCATTTCACTATGACAACAAGTATTTCCAATAGTGCTGCCTCACATTCCACTATGACAACACGTATTCCCAATAGTGCTGCCTCACATTCCACTATGACAACAAGTATTCCCAATAGTGCTGCCTCACATTCAACTATGACAACAAGTATTCCCAATAGTGCTGCCTCACATTCCACTATGACAAACAAGTATTTCCAATAGTGCTGCCTCACATTCCACTATGACAACACGTATTCCCAATAGTGCTGCCTCACATTCCACTATGACAACAAGTATTCCCAATAGTGCTGCCTCACATTCAACTATGACAACAAGTATTCCCAATAGTGGTGCCTCACATTCCACTATGACAACAAGTATTCCCAATAGTGGTTCTTTTTGAATACGTGTTTGTCATATTAGAATGTGGCATCAATAGAGGTAAAAGTGCTACTTCGCACTCTATATTACAAACAAGTACTCTCAAAAGTGCTGCTGATTCAGATGTAACTGTTACAGACAAGTATTCTCAAAAGTGCTGCCTCATTTTCCAATATCACAAACACATATCCACAATACCGCTGCTTCTAATGCTACTGTTATTTTTTCAAACTTCCATTACCAGTCATTTCGTGCCACTTCTTACCCTAATATCGCTGCTTCGCATACTACTGACATAATCCCCAACTGTTGCTGCGAATTCAACAATGAACCTTTATTACCTGAAGCCAAATATGCCAAGAATGGTAAACGTAAACTAACAGAGTACGGCGTGGGACACATCACCTGTCATATTGTATATATGCGTCATACACGCAAGTATTCAACCCTTTGGCTCTCTGATATCTCGCAGGTCCTTTGGCATGAAACAGATGAAACTCTAGCTAATCCACTGTTATTATACCCAATGCACATACATAAAAATACCCATGAAGATCCAGGTTAGAATAGGTCTTCCGCAACCCATACTTCCCGAAAAAGGCGATTATGCTTGTTGTAAGAGGCGACTAACGGGATCGGGGGCTTGCTGACTGGGTTGATGCATGTCACTGTATCCCAATTGCGTGGATTGATGCCCATGATATCAATCACTGGATTGTATGGTCCACACTCGATTATTTACAGACCGCCATCATATAGCTGGAATATTGCTGAGTGCGGCGTTAAACACCAAACAAACAGAACATAAAAACACACAATGACTTAAAATCTCACATCATTCACTAATCTATTTAAAATCTCCCAGAAACTGTATCCTAACATGTGGTCATAATTGTAAAGGCCCACTTAATTATCTGGACTCAAACAGTGATGTTTGAAAATTTAAGTGATCCCTGCCATAATAAAATGCAGCACTGTAGATACACGTCGATATACAATTATTAAACACAGAAATGTTTACCTTGCCAACAAGTATCCGTCTCGGGTTCTTCGTTAAGAGTTCGTTCAAACACAAGATACCAGGTTTCGTTACCATTATCGTCCGGCCGACAGCCTTCGCGTTGCTTTATATCAAACCTTCATTCTATATGGGGCACCCACATGGCTACGTGAGTGTTTGTAGCTGTGCAAGGAGCTGTTTAGGCCGGAGCCATAGCGAGGCCACTGTGATGTATAGCCAATATACATTACCCGTAGATAACAATCTGCTGTTGATATAAGTTTAGATCACGGAAGGGGACTTATGGACCGATCATTTTATTTTCTGGAGGCGGGTTTGGTTGAACTTTTTTTCGACTGAGGAATATTTTTTTGTCACTGCTTCAAGACATGTCTTGTTCCCTGAGAGTAGATGATTCGTGAAATATATCCCCTACGCCAAATGGTCAGTACTCTAGTATTCAGTGGATACTAACGAGTAACAACTACGTCGTTGGGGACATTACATAATTGGACCAGTTGAGACAGTGGTTGATAGCATGAGCATCGAACTATACAGGAGGGGTAAGATGATAGGAACATATGGTATCATATGTTGTAAAGATCCGCTCGCCATGGAATTGGGGTCATGGTAAGTAATGCCACAATATTTATTGACATAAGAATGTGCACATGTGTAACTGTACATACATGTATGTGTGCATGAATATGTTTACGTTCACTATGGTGTGGGGGCGGTCGGGTAGCCTAGTGGTTAAAGCGTTCACTCGTCACGCCGAAGACCCGGGTTCTATTCCCGACATGGGTACAATGTGTGAAGCCCATTTGTGGTGTCCCCCGCCGTGATATTGCTGGAATATTGCTAAAAGCGGCGTAAAACCATACTCTCTCACTCACTCACTCACTCACTCACTCACTCACTCACTCACTCACTCACTCACTCACTCACCCACCCACCCACCCACCCAAGCACCCACCCACCCACCCACTCACTCACTCACTCACTCACTCACTCACTCACTCACTCACTCACTCACTCACTCACTCACTCACTCACTCACTCACTCTGGTGTGTAAATAGCGCGATTTAAAAAAATGAAAGGTTGTTTTTCCAATCGAATGAGCAGAGAGTTACCTTACAAAACCTTCCCATGAACCATCATGTGCCCACAACCTTTGACACCTTGAAACTGTGTCCGTCCAGCTCTGGATGTCCGCATATAATTTGGGATTGCAGTATACTAGATATCTACTATAAATACTATACTAGTATCCAAAACTGTTGCCATTTGTTTAGTGTTTGCGAAACAACTGACATCAATTAGATCATTCCCTGGCGATGGCAAAAACGTTCACAACATCATACAAACAGTGCAAACTTGCACTTGTGTCAATTTACATATGCACCTGTTCCAGACATGGAGCAAGTTTGTATATATACACAAGAGTAAACGAGTTGACATGACTGGTATATTCACGTGTGTATAAATACATACACATGCAAATATACCACAGTATAGAGGTACAAATGAACGGGGTATTATCAAGATGAACTGGTCTTGATTGCAAGTGTTGTATTGTAATGGTTTAACGTCGATAAATGCATGTGATACTTCATACCAGCACGGCGTGTCGGTGTGGTGGGAGGGAGCCAGGTGTAGCGCAGGCATGTCATGCTTTGGTTGAAACCCACGAGCACCAGTAAATGCTCACACCAAGGATTATAATCAGGACGATGGTGGAATTCGAATCCAAATAATAGATACTGGCACGACTAAGTCTAATTGTGAACATCCGGAAATAGAAGCCGTGATGTGAAGACGAACAGACAATCTTGACATGTCAGAAAAACATGACAAAATAGTGTTCGATAGTGAATGATGCTTTTTTGTGGTATAAGCAGATAGCAAATGATACTTTAATGTTCTTTATGGGACGACGGCAAAGGATACTTAGTATGTCAAACACTGTAAATACTGGACGTGTTTGTAGACACACCTCCACCACCCGTGTATACCTTGGTGGTCAAAGCGTTCGCTCCTCACGCTGAAGACCTGTGTTCGATTTCCCAGATGGATACAATGCGTGAAGCCCATTTCTGGTGTCCCCTGCCGTCTATTGCCGTCTGTTGCCGTCTATTGCTGGAAATACTGCTAAGGGCGGCGAACACCATACTCACTCACTCACTCACTCACTCACTCGTGTTAAATTCAACTGATGAAATGCTGCCGTCACTAACTGACGGATGTCAAAGAAGACCAACTGCGTGCAAACCTACCACAACCTGACATTGCACATCTTCCCGAAGCAAGGGCTTTCACTGACTATAAAAGTCCAGTTTCCACCCTTGCCGAACTAGGCTGGAATTCCGGAGCTACATTTTGGCTGGCCTTACGAGTCTATGCATAGTCCAATCGAAATCGCGTAACGAACTAGACATCCAGTTACTTAACAACATTGATTTCCGTCGACTTCAGGATTTGCAAATTGTGTACCGCCAACAGGGCGTCGACAGATATTTTGCAAACCTGTTCATATTTTTTATCAAGGTGCAATTTGCGGGGTAAGCCCATTTTAGTTTAATATAGATCTTGATTATCAAACAGATCGTCTTGACTGGGCCCCGCCATTTTGTTTGAAGCAAATGGCCTCAGACCACAGTTACCCCCCCTCAGTTTTACCATGAACCGGAAGGAAAATAGGAGAATATAGTACCCCGTTGAAATGGGCTGTTCAGCCTGTGGCAATTTTTTTGGAGTGACTTGTGATAGCTTAAATGAAAGATAAGACATTGTAGTTTGCTGTCAATTTTTTGTTAGCCCCAATCTGTGAAGGTATTGATTCCAGCTTCCCATGATTTGACCCCAAGTTGAAGGCCGCTGTGTGTGTTTCGGCTCGAAACTTCCGGTGAGCATTGTTGACAGTGGTTACTGCGAAAGCAAGGTGGTGGATGCTGGACGTAACTTTGCGTTTTAAGTGACAAGTGGCAGGTTGGTCAGCATGCAACAGGAGAACAGCCTACGACTGATAATAATTATGGTGGGCTGTCATGTCACTGTAGATAGCAAAGAAGGAAATTAATTGTGGTCTGAGGCCTGAAATGCAAATGATAGGAGAAGGGCATAGAAGGGACATAACTCGTAAAAGCCAATGGTGGCGCTGCGATCGAGCCTGGGCATTCCAGCCCAGTTCGACAAGGGTGGATTTTTATGGTCAGTTAACTCCCTTGCCTCAGGTATATGGACATTGCAGCAATGTATTGAGCAGATGATCGCAAGGCTGTAGCACATGCTGCGGGAGACATTTTGCCGCTAAATCTGAGCGTTAAACGCTGCAACTGAAATAACACGATATTGAAATATATTATTCCTGATACAATAATGGTTTCGGAGACAATTTATCAAAATTCCATGCAGTTATATTATTGGATATTTGCTAAAGGAATAACAGGCAGATTGGAAGAATACAGTGTACAGCTTATTTCTTTTTTTCAGATTAGTTTTTGAGAAAATACACACGATAATATCAATCCTTGCAGGAAATACAATTTAAATGGTAAATCATCATGTCTACTATTTTATCGCAAAGTTTTTCTAACCAAGTTTGTTGTCACCCGTTCGTTCACCTGAATTCTCTGAAGGGGTACGATGTAGTTTTTTACTATGCATAATACTTGAATAATCGTATGTATTTTAAAATAAAGAGTTTTTTAGCCTCCGTAGAATTTTGGTACAGGGGGTGGTTACTGACAAGGGATTCAGACATCCGTAAAATAGACAATAATTTACGAGTGACGAGGAATGACGGATTATCTGTCCCGAGTGAAATTAAAGTCCCGAGCCTTGTGTAGTTCAAACTGTTTGACATGGCTGTCAGTCGCCTCAAGGTCACTGACTGGGAACAGATAACCGAAGCTTTTCGCCTGCACATTCTCAGCAACATCAAACTGTGTAAACTGATTCTACAACAAATAAGGTTTATTTGACAGACTCTTTCAAGCGAGCATATGCCTTACATTTTAAAACAACAATAAATATTTCTGGAACATTGGAACATGACGTGGCCTTGACCTTAAACTGAAAGATCTAGGCCAGAGTGTTTATGCAGCATTTTCACGAAAGTTAACCGTAAATGTCCAAGACCATTGGAGAAAGAGTTCTTTCTGAGTCCGAAGATATGTCAACAATGCGCCGACGTTTGGGGGCAGTGGAACTAACGTCCGACTGGGCAGGCTTGGAAATACTTCGGTTGAACACGCCGCCGTAGATCGGGCCAGAAAACAGGCAGTGGATCATATCCGTTGTTGCTTGCTGCGAGTGTGAAGAAATCACAACATCGTGTTTTTGTAGGGAGGCGGATACAGGAACAACATGCGAAGATCGTTCAAGGGTCGGGATGCGACTGATTGACATAGGCCTAGCTGAATCCGAAAGTGGCTTCCCTGCGTGCACTGGTTTTGGACAAAATGTTGGAGATACCACGGTGTTGATCTTCAGTGATTCGTGAATATGTGTTTATAGAATGTATATTTTTGTGCCCAGACACTTGCATTATGGGTGGACTGGAACACCCTTACAGTGGTTGCATCATGTGTTTCCTAGCGCTGTGATTACTAATGCGTTTGGAAGTCATGTTTTTTTCCTAACTGGCTGCCTTTTGAACCAGGATTCCCTCTAGTGTTTGTTGCGAGATGGAATGGATCATCCCTCCCCGAAAAATTTCAATGTTTTTGAAATAACCTAGCTAAAACTACCGTTGAATAAGTTCTTGATAATGGGGATACTTCCGAGCCCTGGCTGAGGACTTTAAACATTAAAACTCGAGGGAAAAGATCAAACACATCCACTCGAAAAAGCGCAAACGCCGTCGATAATGCAGTGTAATTATATTTTTGCGAGCTCACTCAATATATTATTGAAATGACGTCATGTTAACCTGTCTGTTACGTCATAAACAATAGATGGCATCTTCTTCAATTGTTTACTACCAGCCAATCAACATGAAGGCAGCTATGTGATGCTGACTTAGAATGAATGCGACCCGTGAAGATCCGGGGAAGAATAGGTCTTCAACCACCCATGCTTGCCGTAAAGCGTGACTCTGCTTGTCGCAAGAGGCGACTAACGGGATCTGGCGGTCAAGCTCGCTGACTTGGTTGATGCATGTCATCGATCCCAATTG